AACAGCTGCGATCACACACCACTCTTAGAAGCACGAAGCTGAAGACACCAGCCTGAAGATGACGAATGTGACTTCGTCGAAACGTCGCCAAGGTACTTTTAATTCTACGCGGGAGAAAACCCGAATAACTAAAGACCTACATACAAACACCCGCGAAAACCTCAGAAAACATATATATATATATATATATATATATATACACACACACACATACAATTTTAACACCTTTGTCTCTCCCATCACTTTTCACCTTCTCTTCTCCTATTTTCCCCAAAGGAGGAAAAGAAAGAGAGCACAGAGCACAGTGATGATGATGGTTGCATGGTTTTTTTCTCTTTAGATTTTTGATAGAATTTCTTGTCCTTTGATAGAGTCATTTGTTACATTTGCTATAAATCATTATCAAGAGATTAATAAGACTCGAACAAAAATTGCTGAATGACTTCAGCTTGCAAATACTACATTTTTGAAAAAGGCTGATACACTTCAGGGGGAGTGTTTGGGGTGTGTGTGTTAGGGGTTAGGTTTTTTTTCAGAACAAGAACAGATGAACCTTTTTGTAGTATCAAATAAGTGGTTGACATCTTCCCCATTAAGCCAAGGTTTTTGTTAGAAAGAAGATCAAAGTCAATAAAGAGACTTAACATACTTATTGATAAATGGCCAAGGTATATATATATATATATATATCAAGATTCCAAGATTTTATAAGCTAATTCCTTTTTCACTGTAATAAAATTGTCTACTCTAAATATGTGAGAAACTTGTTTTTTTGATTGCAAGATGCTTGACACAAATGTTCAGGAAACCAACTGGTAGTGGTTAATTTTCCAACTGATACATGACATTGAGTCTAGAATCTATCAGACACTATTCCGAAAGTATTCCATATTAGACTGTGTGTGGGTAGCAACATTGCCTGGTTTCTTTGCTGAGATGTGATAATGATGGGTTATGGGGGCAGCATAGTTTATGTAGAAATAACTCCTAACTCAAGAATGTGAGGAAAGGGTGTTAATGTGGTCTTTTAACAGTACATGTAAATATACAGCTATCCTAGACTTCAAAAGAAATATGATTGAGTCATGGTGTATCTATTCACACTATATGAACATGTAAAATTTTATTTTGCTTCAAAGTAATTGGATTGTAACTCTCATGAGCAATTAAGCTTGCCAGCCTCAGAAATTCCTTTAAACCACATTTTGCTTAGGCTGTGTTCATTAACACAGCCGTTGTAGGTAATGATACCCAGTTGATCTATACTATTAGCATTTCAGGAAGCCTGCTGTTTTATTAAAAGTACTGGTTCTTTTTAAAAATTTCAGTAGAGGCAAAATAAAATTTAGGTAGGAAGACAATACATCTATTCTTTTGACTCTAAATAGCTCTACAAAGATCAATTTTGTATTTGTCTTGGCCCACAACATAACTGGAAACACAATGTCTTGCAGCCCAAAGTCCAAAGTTTTCATGAGCAATGAGACAATTCCTCAGTCTTTAAAGAAACTAATTCTTCTACAACCATTGATCAGAAGGTTGGCCAGATTTATGCTCCATTTTTTTACATTCATGGAGGCACAGAGTTTTAAAATCAACTAAAGATAAAGAAACGTTTACCCCAATCCAGGAATGTCTGCAGGGCGTAGTAAAAATATAACCAAGGTGGCAACCATGAAGGGTGCAATCACATCTCTGCCTGATTTTACATAAATCAATGTACAATATCTACAGGTATGTATCAATCAATACACTGATACATACCCTGAGGACACCGCTGTTCCCATCTTCCTTTTATAGTTGGTAGGAAATGTAAAAATTGTGTGATTTAAGTTTAATAGATGACCTCCCAGGAAAGCCACCTTCTAGTCATGATATACCCTTGATTCCATCAATCCATTTGACCACCATAAAAGTGCTTGTAAGCAAAGAAAAATATGCCAGTTCCATCTGTTTTCATTCTCAGGCACCTGAAAATGAACCTGCCCCATACAATTGCTCCCAAGTAAGCCTGAATAATTCATATTTGCATATATTTCAGAAACAGATAAAAACTGCTCTAATACAAGCATGCTTACCTAAAAGTATCCAAATCAGGACAAGTACCCCCTTGTATTCAAGGCCAGCCATTTTGATACTGGTATACATAAGCCATTCTCCTTTTCTCTGCTACTATAAATGGCTTTCAAACACATCAGGCTAAGGCAAGATCAAAGAGCTGCAGAATGGGCCTACCTACAACTACTTATATTGTATACAATGGAATGTTTTTATTTCTTTGCTTGAATAAGAAAGGCAAAAAGATGTAAGCACCTCTCAGTTCTCAATTCTAAGCTGCCAGGCCACAACAAACATTTCTATTACATTTTTCAAGCAATTCATTCAATGCTTACTTAAAATTGAGCACCATTCATGATGCTTCAGGAAAAAAAGTACAACCAATTCCTCTCTATCAGAGGTGATTGTTTTATGTTCAATCCATAGGTATGCTTTTGTGGACATGAATTGAATCCTAGTTTAGAAAAGACACCTGGAATTCCCTTCATAATGGTGATTATTATGAAATGCTTAATTGCTATCCTTTATAGCTATTTTTATTTTGCTTACCATGGATTCGCTGATCAGCAGGAGGAGGAGAGCTTCTTCAACGTTGTCATGGGGGCTATAGATGCTGAAAGACAAACAGGCTTTTTCAAAATATAAGCAACAATAAGAATTATGCTCATGGGAGACTCTTGTTAATAGCACCACAGGATTAGTAATGTGAAACATCTCATGCATGATTAATTTGTTATATAATCGTTTCTTCAGACTGGAATGACTAAAAGCTATAGAGGAGATAACTCATCTCTGACAAGGAAGAGCAAATGATTGGTCAAACACTCTCTATTCATGAAACAATTTTGCTCCTGGGTGTTCTGACCGTATTGAATCTAAAGCATTTGGGGCCAGATTGCCTGTACATGGATCAGCTTATGAGAACATTGCAACTGAGGGACGACCCTTCGGAAAGAGCTGGTTGACAGATGAATTCCAGGACCTTGTCTGATTTGGCCCCCTCATATTTCCAGCAAGATATATGTGGCATTATCTCTATTATATGACTCAGTCATTCATTTTAAGTGGTCCTCTTCTCAGTGTCACAGGCAAACTTCCAATTGTCCTTGTCTGTTCAATTGATCTATTAATGTACGGGAATTTTAAAGGCCTGTAACAATTAATGTTTATTAATGTTATTTTAATTTCTGATGTTACTCTGTGTGGTTATATATTTCACATAGGATGTTTTACTTAGTTAGTATTTGTTCTATGCACGGCAACCTACCCCAAAGAGTAAGTATTAAATTGATTTAGAATTCCAGATATAAAGTTTAGCTTATTTTTTTTCTAAAACTATTACCAGAGACCTCTAACAGAAGACCTGGCTACTATTCCTAATTAAAAGCTCTCTTCCCCTTCAGTAATTAGGATGTTTTAAAAATTTGGTAAACTCCTAGGTCCGTACTTATCACCAGCGTGTTGCTGTAGTTTTCGATGCAAGGTAGTACAAATATAAGCGCTGTCCTCTTTCTTCATGAACTCAGGAAGTGGGTCAGATAAAGGACTCCAGTAACAATCTTCACTTAGGGAGTGGAGGAGAAGCTCTGCCAGTTGTTTGGTGGCTGTCTGGTGAAGAATGGAAAATACATTCTGAAAAACTCAAAAGACAGATTTCATCTTATGCTGTGAGCCAGTATAAAACTTGGAATCCATTGCGTTGCACAAGAAAGAATAAACAATAGTAAGTATTAAGCAAGGGAGCTCTAAAGAGGCCAACACAATCATTTCTGTTGCTCAGTATATGTGTTTGTGGGTGTTAGCATGAGTACCTTATATGTTTGTAGTTAAGCTTTTATGCCACCAGTATAGAAAGCAATGGTAAATGTTGTTTGAAAATGGAACTTTTCTCTAAAAACATCTACTTCCTGTCCTTTCAGTGGGTGTCTTCTTTACTGCACAGTTTAACAATGATGTTAGTTTGTTTCACTTTTGTTATGAATGACACCAAGCAAAAAATAACTCTAGTTTTTATTTCTATTAACACAGTCTCTGGCAAAGCAAAGAAGAAAAAGCATTTTTTGCTCAGAATACATTTTCTGGCTACACGTAAAATTTACACACTTCCATTTAACATTCCAAATTAATTAATTTAGAAATTTTGGCAGGTTAATTCTACCTCTAAACTTTTATGTCCATAATATTAAAACAAATTATTAAAATTATTGGTAGTACTATGCAAGAATCCAAGACTTTATCCTTCCAGGACATATTAAAAATCAGAAATAATGATACTGTTAATATATTATGGTAAATGTGATTATATTCAAATATCACAATAAAACTCAGCATTGTGCATTTTTCCTCTCCAGCTTAGTTCAAGAAAAGATATTAGATTTTTTTCCCTTTCATTTTTTATTACATACAATAAAGAATACATCTGAATGTTAAGCTATGATTATTAACAATAATTATAGAATAGAATAGAATATGAAAGAACCTTGGAGGTCTTCTAATCCAGCCCCCTGCTCAAGCAGGAGAACCTATACCATCTCAGACAAGTGACTGTCTAGTCTCTTCTTAAAAATCTCCAGTGATGGAGCACCCACGATTTCTGGGGGCAAGCTATTCCACTGGTTAATTGTCCTCACTATCAGGAAGTTTCTCCTTAATTCCAGGTTGCTTCTCTCTTTGATCAGTTTCCAACCATTGTTTCTTGGCTTAATCCTCTGATTGTCTCTGCTATTTTTCTGCCTCTGCAAGTTCCATTGGTTCCTTGATTATCCCATCCATAAAGCTGGACAATCATTTTGGTTCCACTGCTCTGAAGGAGTGTTGGTACTCTGTCCCCTCAAGAAGCCATCACTGGACCTAATGATCCTGGACAATTTTCATCTTTTTAGGGAAGGTTGTTGAGAAGGTGGTCTGATAAGAGCTCCAGAGAACTCTATAAGAAATAGAGTTCAATATCACTATCCACAATATCCTTCTGTACAGAATGAAGGGATTGAGACTGAGGGACACCACACTGTGGTGTTGTTCTGGTTCTCCTTTCACTGAGGCCAATCTGTATTGATGGAGAGAAGAAATCAAATATATGGTCCCTTGCTGGTAGGGTGTCACAGAGTTTGACACTTTCTCTCTGCCTGCTCAACGTTTACATGAAACAAATGGGTGAGGTCAGCCATTGGTTCAGGGTCCAGTATTATCATTATGCTGATGATACCCAATTATATATCTTGCAAGTGATGCTGATGCAGTGTCCCAGTGTCTGGAGGCTTTGCAGGCCTGGATGAGGAGGAATAAACTTAGACTCAATCCTGATAAGACCAAGTAGCTATGAATATTTCAGGCCTCTGGTCTCAAGAGTCTCCATCTTTAGTCTTGGATGGAGCTGCATTACTCCAATCAAGACTGTTGCACAATCTAGAGAGATATTGGAGTCCAATCTTCTGCTTGAAGAGCAGGTAACAGCTTTGGCCAAGAGGGATTTTGCACAGATCTATCTAGTATGTCATCTGCTCCTGTTCCTTCATCAGGAGGGTCCTTGGACAGGCACTCATTCCCTAAACAACTCAAGAATGGATTATTGTGGACTTCCAGAGAAGCAATGGGGGACTGAAGATCCCCCATTGCTTCTCTTTTGGCAAAGCCAACAACCACAGCAACAAGAGAAGCCATCAGCTCCTCAGAATTATCTGGATCAAAGGGAAAACAAGAATCTCCCACAGGTTTGCTCCATACAGAATCTCCCTATGATGAGATTGTAAAATAGTGAATTTTTCATCTTTTATGCAGCATATCTTTTTCTTGTGTTTTTGTATCACTCTGCACTTCCTCCCCCCAAAAAAAGAATGGAGCAATGAGGTGTATATGGAATGCCCTTGAAAATCACTCATAAGCTACAATAATGTGCTTATATGACAACTCTGCTTCATGAGCCAGTTAGCTTCCAGGTACAATTCAAGATACTGGCTATCATATAGAACCCTATATGACAGTGGTGGCAAACCTATGACACAGGTGCCAGAGGCGGCACTCAGAGCCCTCTCTGTGGGCACGCGCACCGTCACCCCAGTCCTATAAAATCCCAGCTGGGTTTTATAAAACCTTTTCCGAAATCCGGAGGTGGCGGCACACGTTTTTTTTTTTTTTTCCAAGTTAGTCAGTTAAAGTTGAAGAGCACCTTTTTTTTTCTAGAACGTTTCAACCTTAACTAACTTGAAAAATCAGGGTGGGTCAGACGGCAATGGTGACGTCGGGGCGGGTGGGTTACCCGGTGTGGGTGGGTTACCCGGTGTGGGTGGGTTATCCGCACACCCACCTGGCACCCGACGATGCATAAGTGGGTTTGGGGTTGCAGTTTGGGCACTCAGTCTCTAAAAGGTTCGCCATCACTGCTATATGACATAGAGTCTGGTTACTTGAAGAATCAGCTATCTCCATTAATTTCTGCCCATTCAATTAAACAGTGTGATCTAGTTGGATGAAGAACACCTTTTCTACTACAGTATCTGCCCTTTAGAATAGTATCTCTCCCCCCCCCCCGATAGCCATATGGCTCCCATCCTGATGAGGTTCCATTTTTGCTCATCTTGGGTGATAAACCCCTATATAAGATTTGGGTTTGTTTTGCATGGTTCTTTTTCATGGGCACATATCTCTTTCTTCTTTCATTTTATTGTTCTAATCTTTTTATAGTGTAAAGCACCCCAGTTGTTTGGTGTTGGGCATTTTTTAAATTTATATATATAAACAATCTTCAATAACTGCATTAACCAACAGAGGAAAAAAGCCAAAATGATTTCCCCTTATATATACAAGCTTATACGATTGTTAATCTGAAATAGAATAGTTTTTGGTTTCAGAGTAAGTGGGTCTTTTCTAATATGCCATCATGTTCTGAAACAGACTGAATGCAGGCTCCATGCTTCATTCTTTTGATACTACAAAAATTTACACTAATATTTTGACAGGCAAATGGTTATAAATGGTCATACTATGCAGTAATCTGGATGTGGGTGCAGCATCTTTGAATGCTAAAAATGGCACTCAGCATACCAGCAGCTGCTAGAACTATGGGACTATATTTCTTGCAGTTCCTGTCATTTGTAGCTGCTGTTGCTGATGCTGTTGAAAAAGTTCCCAGAAACACATAAAATCTGACTGAAATAGCTCTTGGAGGAAAGAAGAACTCTGAAACTCTCTAAAATGAACCTTGCTCCATCCCAGGTCAACTCAAATTCCAAACCTCTGATCCAGTCTGTTCAAATGCAACTTTTGAACCTCTTCCTTTCATCTCTGTCTATTAGTATGCTATTTCTACAGAAATGTAACTAAGGTCCATGTGACAAGACAATTTTTACAAAAGTTTACATTAGGCAGAATTATATAATTTCTCCCACCTAGATTTTATAATAGTCTTGTGTAGTAGAAGAAACTATCAAAGTTAGGCATGTTAAATTCCATCTGACCATATTAACCAATTAGTTAACTCAGAATTGCAACACTAGGTTTATGTGCTAAAAAGGAAGGAAGAAGGAAGGAAGGAAGGAAGGAAGGAAGGAAGGAAGGAAGGAAGGAAGGAAGGAAGGAAGGAAGGAAGGAAGGAAGGTTTACAGGCTTCTGCCAAGAAAGCTAATGTGGAATCCAGGGAATTGAGCTTACCATTCTGAAGCTCTGAGTAGATTTTGTTTCCATGGTCCTTAACAATTCTCTTAGATTTCTTATTCCTTGAATAATGTTGCTAAAGGGAAAAAAAATCAAGTGGGAAAAGCAAGGCTGAATTGTCCATGAATTATGAACAACAAAAGAATCTCTTATATTAAATATATGTACATTCATGCATATATGCATACATATATATGCACACTTATGTGTAGGTTGGGTTAATAGTAATAAAGCAAGTCAGCAAACCTTCAAAGAATACTTTCCCAGATGGTGACTGATAAGAAGAACTTGCACTTCATACTTAAGGTATATCAGAAGGCAGTGCCTTCTCCCATTGTTCTTGGCTAAAAGAGTGGTCAGAACAGAGGTGTAGTACTGTGGATTCATGTCACCCTAAGCTATTTCACAGGATAATGCTGAGGAAAAAACATGGCAGACAATGCATGTTACTAAGGTAGAATATACTAGTAAGGTAGAATATACTAGTGGAATCAGTTTTTTCCCCAGCTTAGTTTGGAGACATTTTAAAAAATATATCAAACCTAGTTTAATGCTTAGCCTAACATATATCTCTATTTATTACTACAGAATAACTGTGCCACAGTCTTCAACTACTGTCCTTAGATTGGCTACCCATTCCTGGTTCAGAGAATCTGTACATTTCTTTCCCTGAATTTAGGATATGTTGTAAATTAGTTTTGTTGACAGTAAACCCACTTTTCCCCATGACTTATGGTCTATCTCACACAGATTTTAACTATTAAAAAGGAGAAACTTCCTAGTATTAAGAGCTGTATCTTGTGCTGCTTTGATAAACACTATTTCACTGAATGTATTTAAGCAGAAGCTGATTATCCTTTTATCAAGGATGCTGTAAACTGCATAGCAGACCTCTAGAATCCATGGGCTCTCTACAGAAGTTCCTCCTGTTTCAATCTGAAAACCAGTTAATATTTTATTTTACAGCAAGAAATGTGCACTTGAGATGTCAAAAAATTTGAAGTGCCTATCTGAAAGGAAACAGATGCACACAGACACATAACTCACATACCAGAAAATTTTATTCCCTGAAATCACATCACAGCCTGTAAGGATTTGTTGCACTTAGAAGAACTCTACATACTTCCTCTCTTAACTTAAGAAACAAAATCATTTCTCTAATCATACCACATTTAGAAATCACTCATCTAATGAGAACATCAAGTGACCCACTTCACTTTCCACATTTTGTTTACTTGGCTTATGAAGAGATCTGTCTGCACCCTCTTGTGGCAGAGAAAAAAAAGAGATCCAATCCAATCTACTTTCTTCCTCCTACACTGATCCTCTGTATTAAAACAGTGGGGAGAGAATTACAACTAAATTTTCTTCTAATTTAGAATCCTAGAGTGATACCTCTGCTAACAATTAATCGTTCCTTTTTGGTGATTAAATGAAGATTGGTAATGTATTCTTAAACATACAAGTGATACATCTTTTTATCAATTGAACACAGGATTGATTTTAGGGGTATTCAAACAAACCCACTCAACCAAAATTAGGAATTAGCTTTATGCATGTATAACCTGTTTGCCTCCAGGGCACCTTTTTCATTGATGCTGAAAACAAATACAGGTAGTCCTCGACTTACGACAATTAACCCCAAAATTTCTGTTGTTAAGTGAGATAATTTTTACATGAGTTTAGTCCCATTTTACGACCTTTCTTGCCACAGTTAAGTGAATCACTGCAGTTGATTAGTTAGTAACCCAGTTGTTAAGTGAATCTTAATGGCTTTCCCATTGACTTCGCTTGTCAGAAGGTCGCAAAAGATGATCACATGACCTTGGGACACAGCAACAGTCATAAATATGAACCAGTTGCCAAGCATCTGAATTTTGATCACATGATCATGGGGATGCTGCAAAGGTCGTAACTGTGAAAAATGGTAATAAGTCACTTTTTCAGTGCTGCTGTAATTTTGAACAGTTATTAAACGAACTGTTGTAAGTCAAGGACTACCTGTATCTCGGGAAGACTAGAAAATCCATTCCTGCTACTCAATCATAATTTGGACAAGTGAAGGACCTTACTTCAACATCTCCTTATTTCATAAGTATGTCAACATTGTACAATTTCAAGCAGTTCTTGCTTGCATCTTTTATTACCTACTGGTAGTTTTGAACAGAACTATATCCAAAGCTTTTTATGTGAAATCATACCTACCCTCTCTTTAAATGAGCCACATATGCACTCTGTAGAGCTGCTTCCAGAAAGTAAGGAAGTTCAAAATCCAAGGAAGACATCTGACTGGCTTTTATGCTTCTTGTATGTGTATTATTAAACCTCTGGTAATAGGAGATAGAGAGAGAGAGATGACAGATAAATATGAACAATAATTTTGCTTAATGCTTATTCTATTCTTCCTCCAAAAGGTCAGGGAAAATGACTAATATAAGGGAAAGAGGATGGGGTAAAGATAATTTGAAATTTGCTTTGAATTACCCTTGTTATTCCTTTATAGTTTGGCCATTTTTTTTGTGCTGGCTTCCTAAGGATCACCAGGGAAAGATCCTTATATTTCCCTCTGTATTTCTGGCAATATACTAAGTAGATCTACATAATTTAAGAGTCACAAATTATAAACAAAAGAACAGCTAAAACCACAAATGGTAACCCATTAAAGGCTCAATAGCTCTCTCCTTTCTATTGTTTAATTGAAACTGGAAAAAACAGAAAAGTGGTTAAGCATCTGAGTACTGGATCCCATAAACTGGATGGATTACAAATCAATACTTGCCCTTCTCTGAGCCCAAAATTAGGGCTGTGCAGTGACTTGAAGGGAAAAAAGTTTTGAAGGGGAAAAAAGTGATTTGGAGTGCATGAGAGTGTTCGCACAGTACCTCTTGCAAACTCCTAAAAGCTGCTGCATTTTTTTCCAGCATAGCTGTAGTGTGATCTCAGGAAAACATGGATTTGGTTTAAGGCACTGACAGTGGGTCTTACATTAGTCCCATATACAGTCCAAAGCACCTTCAAATCCAAACTACTGAACAGACATGATAGATTATTCAATAGTCTGTAATCAGATTACCATCTTTACCAACTAGATAGCATAATAACACCTGCAGCAATTTGCAATGATGTCGAACTTTGTCCGTTACAATTAAATCTTCCCATCTTTTACGTAAGCTACTGTATTTGCATAATAACGTAAAGAGGCACATTTAGGTCAATAGTTCCCTGCATTGATGTCCCTTTTGTGGATGCACATCAACCTTGGTTGATCACAAAAAAGCTAAAGAGGATCAAACCTACTTAGTAGCTCAATGGGATGCTGCTAAATGCAAGAGTTAAAACATCCTAGAAGATTATGGCAAACCCACTTCCATACGGTTGTCAAGAAAATACCACGGATGGACCAGGAATTGAGCATGACCTGAAGACTTTTCTTTACCCAAATGTAAAATAACCTCGAATTTAAGATGGCTTCTGACCCCAACATACAAAATAAAAGGGAAACTTGAGATGCACCCATTATCAAATTTGTAATTGAGCTAAGACAGTGTTTCTCAACCTTGACAATTTTAAGGCATGTGGACTTCAACTCCCAGAATTCCACAGCCAGCAATGCTGGCTGTGGAATTCTGGGAGTTGAAGTCCACATGCCTTAAAATTGTCAAGGTTGAGAAACACTGAGCTAAGATGACCTTCCCATTTTAAAGGTAAATTGATTGTAGAAAAAAATAGTCTTCATTTTAGATAAATAGAGTAAAAGCATATAATACGGTTTTGCATAAAGTGCAATTGATATAGCACACATTATTCAAAATCTGGCAATTTTCCTCAGAATCTTTAAAATGACAATAAATTTATTCTATTCTGTTCTGTTCTATTCTATTATTATTTTTACATTTTTATCTGTGGTATTTTAGTGATTTTCAAACCTGTGTTCTGAAATTCAATATTCAAAAAGCTGGCAAAATGTGGTGCTAAAATATAAAATTACGTAGAGGGATCTGATTCAAATTCCCATTCAGCCAGGTGCATGAAGTCTTGGGCTATTTGGACTTAATCACCTCAGAGAAGTATTAGGTGAGCAAAAGACAGCAGCATCTCGAGCATATTGGAGGGAAAGCAGAATAAAAATGACTATCAGGCATGATCCCAGCGTATATAATTTAGCACATTTTCTGGCTTTCGTTTAATGGAAAACAAGTTAAACAGTGATATCGAGCTGACTCTAATTTACCTTCTCCAGTTCTTGCAGGAAAATCTGAGCGATTACACATGCCCTTTCAAAGCAAATCATGACTTCCTCTTCTTTTTCTGACAGCCGTACTTGGGAAGCAGTGGAATTGGGCGAGCGTTCCAGTGCCAAGCCTATGAAAACAGCAGCAGTGTCTCTTCAATGCCATGCTGAAAAGCACTAACTATCAATTAGTTCTCACTTCGTGCAACCATCCCCATAATCTTCACTATCTAGAGAAGTCTAACATAGCTGGAGGTTATTTCCTGGAGTGAATTTAAATCTTATATCCTGATTTAAGGGGGGAGAGCTTCAGGACAACCACACCCTAGAATCTCTCAGGCTGTATTTAGTAGGTTAGAAGGTTGTAGCTATAGTCTAGCAAGGTTCTGTCCATGGTTAGATGTAAGCAAATAAAGGACTGGACTCCGTGGATTTTGTTGTGTGGTCTTTGGGGTTGGTCTTGAATTCCAAGAGCATAGATTTACTTCAGCCTCAGGAAGAGTAATATCTTTTATATTATAGCTAGACTACTGCCACTGATTCCTTTCCCGTGATATTTTTTTTGAAAAGGAGGGGGTTAACCTTCTTGCTACCATCTAGCTAAATATACATGTTTGCATCCATATGAGCAATATGAGCAATATGCAAGGATATTTTTAAAATCAAAAGGGGGTGGTGAGTTTTCAGATTAGTAACAGAATTGCAGCAAGAAGCTACAGTATGTACATTGTAAAGCTCTCTATTTTTCCTAGTTTTGCAGAAAACAAATATAAAAAACCCCTCTCTACAGCATGTTGTCTTGTTTGCATACATACATACATACATACATACATACACACACACACACACACACACACACACACACAATCACACACACACAATCATGGGGTTATAAAGACTTTGGAGGTCTTCTAATCCAACCCTTTGTTGAGGATAAGAATCCTCAGGCTATCCCAGACAAATGAGCTTTAGAATGGTTGTTCTTTGTTTGTTTATTTGTTTTAAAAAAACAAATTATATTCTTCCAGTATTGTATTTCAACTATGAGTTCCATCCCCCCAGGTTTCAATCACACCAGTAATGTCATATTCCAGCACCACCACCCATACTAGGATTTCAAGTTCTCCTGGTTTGTTCTTCATACTGTGAATAAGCAATTGAGCCTTCTTAGGTTTGCCTGTTGCATCTCCTACCTAGTGTATTTCTGAGCACTCCTTCTTTATCACTTGCTGATTTGTAAGATTTAATGCCTTTGGGCTTATGCTTAAATGTGGTTGTCAATCTCCCTTCCCCTTCAGATATAGTTGAAAGCCCACTAGATATTGATGGCATTGTACTCATTATATTGTATGTTGCATTATATTATACTGAATATACTGAATATATTCATTATAGCCAATATAGCATTCATTCATCCTAATAATTTAAACCAGCTTATGTAAGTATACATGTGGAATCTGGCTACTGTCCATAAAATTATTATAGATAAATATATATACAAATACTTAAGATTGGGACAGGCTCAGTTCCACAAATAAGGTCAATTCTAATACCATCTTTTTCTGCCTCTCTAATTAGGATTCTGTATTTCTCCATTCAATCCTTATGTCACATTCTTATCTTCCTTTTCCTCTCTTTAAATAGAAATCATATAAAGGTACTTTTGCAGACAGAAAGTCCCCAGTGGAATTCCTGGCACCTCCAAGTAAACCTGAAAAAATCCTTCTCTGATCCTCTGTACAAATACAGCCACTCATTATAGATAAAAGTGAGCTTCAGAGATTAAAAGGTCTTATTCAGATGTAGCAATTTCCTGAGTTCCTTCTCTCTGTTCCTATCTATTTTGTCCTTAGCTACCTTATATTGTACCTCCACACCCCAGGTTATTTTTTTCTTCAACATGCCTACACGGTCAGCCTGAAAATTGGAACAGAATGTACAGAGGAGAGTGGAAAAGCCCTTCCATTTATTGCTATTATTACAAGACCTGAACTTTGCCCATTAATGCAGTCTTAATTTCAAGGATTAAAATCATATGGGTCATCTCTCTCTCTCTCTCTCTCTCTCTCTCTCTCTCTCTCTCTCTCTCTCTCTCTCCCTCCCTCCCTCCCTCTCCCTCTCCCTCTCTCTGCCTCCCCCCCACCCCCAATATCAGAAGTGAAAACCCCTGGCAAAAGCAGTCCATTAAAAGCCATACCAAACAAAATACAGCTAGTCTTTGCATTACAACAATTCATTTCGTGACATTCAAAATTACAACGGCACTAAAAAAAGTGACTTATGGCTGTTTTTCACATGACTGTTACAGCATCCTCATGATCATGTGATCAAAATTCAGATGCTTGGCAAATGACTCATATTTATGATGGTTGCAGTGTCCCAAGGTCAGGGGATCACTTTTTGCGACCTTCTGACAAGAAAAGTCAATGGGGAAGCCAGATTCACTTAACAGCTGGGTTACTAACTAATCAAATGCAGTGATTCACCTAACTGTTGCAAGAAAGGTTGTAAAATGGGACTAAACTGTATCCCTCCTGTACTTTTTTTTATAGTTATCTAATAAACTTGGGGGGGGGGAATTCTGGCTGATCAATTAGTGGGGTTACAAGGAGAATGAGAAGAAGACAATCAAGTTAATCTGCATAGTGGATTTCTCCCAAATGTCATGCAGGGGTGTTTTTGTTCAGGAAATCAATAATCCTAGGGAGAAAAGAAAAGTGGGTGCCTACTTTTCCTACCAAGAAGTAACAATGGGTATAAGGGGAAAGGAACCTGAGAAACCCACCAATCACTGCCTTGAAACTGCCCCACATTGAATTTATAAGGACAGTTTCTCACTGCTGAAGCACAGTAAAACTTGGCCAGTGCAAAGTACATCAATATAGTTTTCTATCAACTCAAGGATGGGACAAATGCATATTACTCAGCTGTGAGGAAATGTTTTAGGTCCTGGTGGAATCATGCTTGGTTTTCTTAAGGATTGTTGTATTCTGTTGAGAGAAATTGATCTAGGGGTTATGTTCCAGTATAGTGTAAAGCCAAAAGGCAGAAGAGATTGCTTAGAGAGAGAGACTGCATGAAATAAGGCAAAAGCCTGCATTTCAGCCAGAATCCATTCTATAAAGGGCAATAGGCTGGCTTAAGGAACCAAATCTTTAATAACAACATGCAGCACCTGTGCCTCCCCCAAGAGATCAGGTATATTTTCCACTGCTTGCTTGTTATTGTGGTCGGAATGTAGCACTCCTTCAGAAGTATTATAGGGTCTAATCAGGACAGCCAAACAAACTCAATCTAAAAACTGCTACTATGGGTAAAAACCAAGTCCCAGTTGACAGTTTTAAGTCTTAAGACAGGGATGGGAAGCTCCAGGGCCACATGTGGCTCCCAAGCACCCAGAGTTCCCTTGGTTTGAGTATATAGTGAATTTTTGTTTTATTCTTTTGTTCATTTTTGGGTAAGGGATTTAAGAGAATAACAGATGCCCTAACATTTGCAGAGGGTTGGGTACTTCTTTCATTCATTAAAAAGAAAAAAAACCCCTTCTTTTCCTACCAAACCACAACTTCCTCCCACTTGAGTTCTAAAAGGCAACATGCATGGTTCACACCTCCACAAATCTTAAGATATCTGTTTTACTTCAAAACCTTCTAAAAAGAGATTGAAACATTTAGCCACCTCCAGTCCAGTGACATCATAACCACCCCAGCTGTGGCTTCTGCAGAGGCAAACAAATATTAAAGCATGGCCTTGACTTTGCACATTCATAGTCAAGGCTAGGACTTCTGCTGCTCTTTAGTGTCTTCAAAAGAGTGACCTTGTCTGAAAGACAAAAGTCACTCTTGGAAAAGTCCACATTCTGGGCAGAAAGGCCCACTGGTTTGTATGAGGGGTCAAAAAGGCCATCTATATTACAATTGAACAGCCCTCTCTCAAACGGGGGGGGGGGATATGAACACCACCTATCCCCTGTCTACAGCGTAATTCTTTCAGGAGTCTCCAGAAGGTTCCACACCCATTTGCACTCTGATTCAGATGACCCTGAAAGTGGCCTCAACAAGTGGCCTCAACAATTCTCAGAGAGCTAATGACTGACCTTCAGAGTGTTAACAACCAGATGACTGGTAAGGAATATAAATCCTTCCATTCCCCACCATTCAGCTACAAGCTTGTTGGATAAGAAGTGAAATGTTTTCAAGGAGAAAAAAAACGAAATCCAGTTGCCTTTTGAAAAACACTTTTGGTGCAGTTGATTGGGTTCAAAGCCATGAGTACATAAAACACAGTTTACTAAACCATTATGATTGGATTCATGCAACACTCTCAGACCAAAACCAAACACTTATGATTTAGCGTCTATCTGGTTTTGCAATATATATCAAAATCAACATAGCTGTCAGGAAAAATGACAAAATCAGTATATACCTACTGGCAAATATTTAGTGGATTTGCGCAGAATAAGTGAATTAGATTCACTTAAATGAGTTGCTCACACATTGGCTGATGGATACAGTCTCTTCATTCTCATATTGCTCCCTTGACAAGTGGTTTGTTCATATTTTACTAAGAGATACTTTTTTAGGATCATACAGGTCAGATATAAGTTATATTTGTAATTTCTGGGAATTTTAGTAAGGAACCATAGAAGAGGAATAACAGACTACATGTACCCAAATATAGCTAAGCCCATTCTTTTTCAGAATCATAGCATAATGTTTTAACTGAACCTGATCAATGACTCCTATATTTTAAATTATTATTCAGCATGTTATGAACCTGAGCTAAATCTATCAAAATGCTATCATTAAAGTGCCCTCAGAAATACCTATCCAAGAACTCTGTATGCGATCTTTATGCAACTATGCATATATTTGTAAGCAGGAAAGGCCTGTTTAAATTAAATAATTACCGTAAGTAAACTAGGATGCTTCGTAGACTATCTGATGTCCACAAAAGCAAAAGTGGGCAGGTAGGCTAACAAAAAGAAATTCTTGTGAATTAGGAACTTTTCGTGGTAGCAAGTAAAATCACAATAAAACATACACACCATAAGTAAGTTAGGCATATCAAAATTTCTAAATATTTCTTATTACTAACTGGAGGATATCATTTCTAAATGCTAATCCAATAGTTGCAACCATTCACAAATAGGTACCAGTGGCGCATCCCCCAAAGCCAATAGAATAGCAGAGACATTCTTAGGTGTGGCCCCTTGGGGGAACAGGAAGCACAGATCATGCCTGATGATCAGAAAGTTCATTGCAATAGTAATATGGTGTTTTAACTTTGATTTTTACATACCAGTTGAAGATATCTGATCACTCCACCCTCTATTCACCTAATAAGTGGATTGGTATGTTGAAAAAGTTAGAAGAGGATAGGCAGAGAGCAACTATTTCAGCAGCATTCATAAACAGCACTGAAAGGAAACAGAAGATGGAGAATGCAAGCAGAGATAATTTTTCCAGGTTTCCCAGAAAAACAGCTGAATCATAAACCCTTTGATAACTTCCCTGTTTTCCAAACATAGAATAAAAAGACACACAGAGAAGAGATTATCATTATTATTGTACAATGGCTGAAAATGCAGCAAGGAGAAATGTAAGTATACTACAAAAGAAAGAAGAACCAAATATTGTCAGTTTGATAAGCACTAAAAAGCTGTAGAAAAGAGCCAGTGGTGTGATCTGCCAGCAGAGTGGGTCTTAAAACTGACCCATTAACCCTTTTTTCCTCGATCTTAAATATTGTCATTACCCCCACAAAAGAAACCAGATTCCATTGTTTTGCACAAGCATCAGTCTCAGCCTGGATCCTCCACTCCCAAACAAGAAATTACAAATAAACCCCCAGGTTATGCCCAAATTATCCCCTTGGGCATCCCTAGTTTAAGAACCACTGCTTCCTTACAAACACACTGTCACTTTAGTTTGGGAGGGGGAAGCAAACCTCTTGTTTAAGAGTTATTCCTACTTCATGTCACCAAAGGCAGCACTCTTTGAGTTTTTCAGATCTTTCACCTGACTCTGTTATATACAACTGAGCTGTTTTTTTTAAATATATATATTGTCCCTCTTCTTCCACTTTTATGTTTATGTTTGTTTATGTTTATTTAGATTTATATACCGCCCTATCTCCCTTACGGGACTCAGGGCGATGAACAGGCGATAATAAAAATCACAATAAATATCTATTCTAAAATCAAATTAAATAAATAAAGGCCTGCTCTAAAATACCCCATATAAAAACCTATACGAAAACCTAATTAAGACTACGCCAGGCCGGCCACACGAAATAGATGGGTTTTCAGGGCTCGGCGAAAAAGGCGCAGGTCCGCAGTTGTACGTAGGTTGGGGGGTAGGTCATTCCAGAGGGCAGGAGCTGCCACAGAGAAGGCTCTCCCCCTGGGGGTCGCCAGCCGGCATTAACTGGCCAACGGCACCCTAAGGAGGCCCTCTCTGTGGGAGCGGACTGGTCGAAGGGAGGTATTTGGTAAGAGGCGGTCTTGCAAATACCTAGGTCCATTGCCATGGAGCGCTTTAAAGGTTGTTACTAACACCTTGAAGCGCACCCGGAAGGCCACAGGCAGCCAGTGCAGCTCACGCAGGAGAGGTGTTACATGGGAGTATCTAGAGGCCCCCAAAATCCCCCGCGCGGCCGCATTCTGAACTAGCTGGAGCCTCCAGGTGCACCTCAAGGGGAGCCCCATGTAGAGAGCGTTGCAATAGTCCAGGCGGGAAACAACGTGGGCTTGAGTGACCGTGCGTAGAGCGTCACGATCATTTTTCTGTCTTTTTCATAGTTTAATAGTTTCAACTTGTTTAATAGTCATTTACTCTTCCAAAGACACCATGTTATATACAGTCCAAAGTGTTGAGTAGAGCACCATTTCTCCTGCTTGACAAATTTACGGTACGTGGACTTCAACTGCCAGAATTCACTAGCCGGCATGATATTCCATGTTCAGAACAGGAAAACCATGACATTTTAAGATACAAATCTGCAGTACTGTATTGTAGCGCTGGCATGTTCTCCTGACTATTTTTCTACTTTTTTTAAAAACAAAATATTATAGTGCTACTGATTTCCCTTGTTGAGCTAATTTCAGCCTATTACTGAAGACCAAAGAAACCGAAGAAATATGCGGAATGTTGTTTGCTTGTTTTTACAAATTAAATTATTGATATCTATAGGGCTAATCAAAAATCAATAGTTTAGCCAGGCATATGTACTATGTCTGAATTAGAATTTTGTTTATTATATTCCATACCTCATCAGCTTTTCTAAATTTAAACTCAGTGCAACTTCATCTAAATAAAATAAAATAAAATTTTTGAAGGATAAAATAAATAAGGTTACATGAGCTGATTTTCTACAGCACTGACACAGTGAAATCAGAAATCAGTGACCACAGACAACTCCCATTACCTTTAATAACAAAAGCTTCGGTTAGCAGACGCAGCTTGTATAAAGGTTTCTTCTCTACTACAATGTCTTCAAGGCCAGCTCTTGCATACATGCTTAAAGTCTCCCGGTAACAGCCTTCAATATAATGAAGCTTTGCAAGGATCAACATTGCTTCTGTCATATCTTTTGGCTGGGAAATTAAAATGTTCATTAGTAATATAATAAAGCTGTAGCTAAACAATATTTGTTTTGGAAATATTTTGCTATTCAACATCGCATGGAATCAAGCATTTTGTTAACAAAACCTTTGTGAGCTTTGAGGCGAACTATAACGAGTGCAGATCCCTCAGTTAATTTGAAAAAAAAATATAGAGGTTGGACCTTCATCGTCTACTGAAATTAATAAGACAGCTCTTAAGAACAGGAACATTCTGTCATTACAACAGAGCCCCCACAGGCTTTGCTGTTATGTGTCAATGGATGGAGCCATCTGATTTTCTTCCACAAATCTCCAAGAACAATTATCCTATGTGAAGTGGAATTTTACTAGTGTACTTTGACTGCAGTTTCAAAATTGCTCTAGGGATGCAAAGTATTTTCCTTATGAAGAAATTTTGGGTAAGCAGGGCAAAATTTTAAGTTGCTTCATATAAAAAAATATGTACGGCAACACCTACCATGAGCAAAAGTGAACACATTTCAGCTATCCTTTAAAAAGTTACAACACTTCAAACAAGGGAATTTTAAATCTTATTCCAATATAATCCTACATCAGCCTCCTCTTACATCCAATTTAATTGCAGCACTAGGCTGCATTCATTCTAAGTAACCATTACCCTGCTTTTACCAAATGTACCAGCTTGAGCACCACAGTGCTAGTATAAAGGCCATGAACCTTGACTAAGCAGATGCCCCAGAATCTTCCTAACATTGTATGAATACGGCCCAGTTTATGCAATTTATAGCTTTAAGCAATATTTGTGACAACACAAATGCTAAAACCTATCTTAAGAACACCACCTCTAAATGGTTCATCCCCGCATGATTAGTACAGCTATTTCTCAGTCACATTCACATTCTCCAAACCAAAAATATCCTAGGAGAATCAGATGTGTAGGGCTACTCAGGGTTGCCATTTGTAGGAGATGTGATTTGGAAGTTTGCCTCATAGCATGAAAGTCAGTGCATGGCTAACATAACAATAATAACCACTTTGCTAGTCATTTAAATTAAGTATAAATTAATTCTAGATTTTAAAAAATGGAAAAATTGGCAGATTATTTTTTTTCATAGTTAAGCTAGATCAAATGAATTAGTAACTTATTTCAATATGGGTACCCTCAATTTATAACAGTTCATTTAGTGACTGTTCAAAGCTACAACAGCACTGAAAAAAGTGACCATTTTTCACACTTACAACTGTTGTAGCATCCCCACGGTCACATGGTCAAAATTCAGATGCTTGGCAACTGACTCACATTTATGACGGCTCTAGTATCCCAAGGTCATGAGATCATCTTTTGCGACCTTCTGACAAGCAAAGTAAATGGGGAAGCCAGATTCACTTAATAACACTATTACTGACTTAATAACTGCAATGATTCACTTAAGTGTGGCAAGAAAGGTTGTAAAATGGGGTAAAATTCACTTAACAACTGTCTCACTTAGCAACAGAAATTTTGGGCACAATTGTGGTCGTAAGTCGAGGACCTCCTGTACGCAAAATGTGAAATATTTTTATCAAGCTTCCCTAATTTTTCTATATATAATACTTGTACAAAATAGTAACTTTCCCAATTTGTAATGAAGACTCACATTAATGAATTAATGCAGATTTTTAGAAGTAGGGGCTTTGAGAGAGACACAAAATCCCACCATGCTGAATCAAAGCTATGACTCCCGAATAAACTACCCCATGTGGAAATGTTCAAGCAGCAGACCAAAGAAAGGGTCGGTTGGCAGCTTTCATAACAATAAAGTGTACAGTTAGACCAGGGGTAGGCAACCTTGGCTCTTTTATGACTCATGGACTTCAACTCCCAGAATTCCTGAGCCAATTGAAGTCCATGAGTCATAAAAGAGCCAAGGTTGCCTACCCCTGAGTTAGACAGTTCTACCCATCATAAGGTCTCATTGTTTTTTTTAAAAAAGAAAGCCTCATGTACATTAGTGTTGCTAAAACAGATCTATAAACACATAAGTGGACCTGCAATAAAACACTGTCACAGTTAAAGTCAGAAAAAAGATGTAGTTGTTTTAATGAGTCAATTGATATGATTTACTAAGATAGCTACATCCTTTTTCTAGGCTCACACAGAATCCTAAGAAAAGATACAAGAGGTGCTGTGCTCATATTATCACACATTCCAAAGCACCTTCTCCAAGTTAGGTTCAAGAGTCTTAGTAGCTTTAATTTGGAAACCCGGTACTCAGCCATTCATGTCTTTCACTAAGACACTGTATTCTATTCCCCACCACCCCATCCCCAATTATTTCCCTTCCTGCAAGTCAGCAATATTTCGTGGCCCTTGTTTATGTTTGATCCTCAATGGCCACCCTTGACTGGTGTCCCTAAAGTGTGTCTATACTTCTGCAAACCCTCATCTCCCTCAAAACCTGCTAATAGCTTCATTTCTTCATGCGGATGATGCCATTCTAGAAGGGTTGGTTCTTAGAGGACAGAATTTGCCTATTAATTTATATAGTGCGGAAAGTTTAATTTAGTAAATTGTAACAAATCCCAACATTCTTTTGAAAATTGTTGCAGAAAGAAAATAATTATTTTAGTTTTTTATACAGTAAATGCATCAGGAATGGTATCAGGGAGATAGGTGAGATTAAAGCTTCCAAATTTTTGTTATCTAAACCATTAGATTGTACATCATTAGCAACATTTTTAATGCTCTTTTTTATTTCTGTCTAGAATGCCTACCAGTAATTTTCCTCGATTTAGAATGTCAGTCAAAGATTTTTTGGCGTCACTCAGTTTGGGCTCGGTTTTTTCCATTAATGGTATGGTTTCTTTGATTTTGGCAAGGTTCTCTTTTAAGCACAGTTCCAACAGTGCCTCCGCAGCTAGTAGATTCTCATAGTCATCTGTAAGACATAGTCAATGGAATAAAAAATTACACACTGTGATATGTTCCCATATATAGCAGGACAGAAAGATAAACAGAACTTTAGCCATTATATAAACATTTCCTTGCATAAGGAAATTTGCCCAGAGTGCAAAAATTGTTTATGTAATAGGAATCCAGTTTGAGTGATTATCTATACATTTATAGACATTTCTTAGAAACTTTCTTATTTAGAAATACTAATCAATGTCCTGTGTCATGTATTCTACTTCAGATTTGTAAATATAAACTCTTTGAGAAATAAACACCAGTTTGTTCTGCTGGCTTATTTAAAGAAACAGACAGAATTTGATTCAGTCATGAAAACCTTATTGGAAATAAAACCACAATTATTTATATAAAGGTTACTGTGTTCTAGAAATCTAATTAATAAGACAAGTTGTACGATAATTCTAGATTTTGCTGCAGGCCTCTGTATACTTACATAGTAAATTATAACTGAACACAATGGGATTTACTTTTCAATATGCACACATAAAACTGCACTCTAACTTAACCAGCATTAAGGACTGAATAAAAAAATCTATGCAAACAATGTGACTTTTTATCCCTTTCCTTCCCAAAACCCTCATCTTCCAACCTCACAATCTACTCCAGAAGCAAATTAATTTTGAGAGGCATAACTGCTATGTGCCAGTCAAATCAAGATTAAACTATTAATTTGTCTCAATAGGCGGCACATTCAACTATTAACCCCTGTGGTCTATAATTTCATGTGTCTGCCCATATTCTGTTTGCCCATGGGATCTTATGACAGGTAAAATGAGATAGTTATAATGACAGAGGGTAAAGCTAAAAGATAAAATGTTAATAAAACAAGCCATAAATAGCAGCTAATCATAAATATGATCTGAGTTCAAAAACAGCATCAGTCAGGGTGTGCAGGGGGAATATCAAAAGATCAAGAGGATGATTACAACTGCATGGTTGGTGCTCTTCTTTAAATGCATCTTTAAAAAACTACATGGTTAATACTGTATAACAATTTAATGTTAAGTATGTAAAGTTGAGTAAGCCTTGTTTCAACCAGTTATCTGAGCAGAACCCCACTGAAAACAGTGCAAATTATTTCTCAACAAAAAAAAAAGGAGAATTTTACTCTCAGGCACTTATCAGGAGTGCTGCTTTCTCAAATTTTATAAGAGCAATTGTGTTGAATATAATGTAAACAAGCAGAAAATATGATCTATTACTGGAAAGGACAACAAAGCTTTAACCATGTGTTTATATGAGATCAAACTCCATTTAATATTACAGTAGTATTTTACTGTATTATTTTGACTCTCTAAAGTAGAATATATTCCCAAAGCAATAGCAAAGCTTTCTCATATTCTCCTCCTTAAAAAAAAAACACCTGATGTTGCTTTTCTTTTCCTTCCACTTATTTTGTCTTTCATCTTTCATCTTTCATCTATCCACTACTGCCACATTGTCTTTTTCCTGGAATAATTGCATATGCAAAACTGATTGAAGAAAACATACATGCTGATGGTGCAACAAGTATGCATTTATGCTCTTGGGTGGAGCCCACAAGTTAACTTGAAATTAGTGGCACAGCCCCTCTACAGACACAAAATGGTTGTGGTTTGAGACAAAGGTTTCAAGGGGGGAGGAGGGAAATCCAAGCCGCTGGTGAATGCATTCCTTCTATGTTTCTCAGTTTTGTTTTCTACTGAAAGGTTTATCTTTAAAACTGAAACTGTATTTTACTTAGCCTCTATCAACATTTTGCTCCATTCCCCCCCCCAAGACAGCGGCTAAAGTGCTCCAAGCCAGCATACACCTGAAATAGTGAGCCATAAGTCCCATGATCCTCAGCCAGCCCTTGTTGTAATTGAATACATGTAAATACCATCAGGTGTGGAAGGTTTCTCTCATTTAATCTATGTGATAGTCCCATGAAAAGTGGCAAGGCATACCAATCAGCCTTTGATGGCACCATTTGGGTATCTTAAACAGTGGTGGGATTCAGCCAGTTCTCACCACTTTGGCAGAACCGGTAGCTAATTTTTTGTTGCCCAGGCCCAGAATGGACTTCCGGAAGTGGCATCCACACAGAGAACCAGTTGTTCACATATTTGAATCCCACCACTGATCTTAAACCCTGGTCTCATTGGATGGTGGGGCAACCTTTTTTAGAAGCAGAGGAACCCTGCTTGCATTTTATCCCCTCCACACTTATTCTAGCCTAAGAGGTCCTAGTTGGCTTAATTATTTTCTTTATTCACATTTTTCATAGCCATCCAACTCCAAGGGATTCAGTGCTTCCAAAGCCAGTCATGATGGCTGGCACAGACATAAAGAGCAGCCTGTTCTCAAAGGTCTTTCTTTTTGCCTTTTCCTGATGCTCATTCTGAGAGGCTGCTTTATCCTTCCAGAAGAGAGCAGATGGTCTGGCCTTGCAGAATTGGGCCAGCTGCTCAACAAGGACACCTTTGCAGGCAGCGGGTCAGGAGAAAGGAAGAGGGAACATTACTGCTCCACCACTGGACTCTTTGGTGTACCCTTCCTTGTGTGTGTGTGTGTGTGTGTGTGTGTGTGTGTGTGAATAAGACTGCTACTTCCGTTCTAAATCTAAGCAGTCGTCTTCTACATATTAATTCAGAAAGAAGCGCTTGTGAGTTCAATGAGATTTATTCCCCAGGAGAGCAAATTTCAGTGGGTTCAACTAAACATCTCTTGAAGACAAGGTCGCCCAAGAACTGATTCTCAACAAGGGCATTTGAGTGTGGTAGTGCAGTCCCCTTCAAGAGCACAGGGCAAAGCTGAGAAAGAGGAAGAGGCAACCGAGGGAGGCCAGCTAAGAGTAAAACCGGTACGGGGTGCGGTGGAGGGTGCATCGCCAAGCCTTGGCCCCCACTATTCAGAGTTTTTACAAACAAGCCATCGCTACGCCCCAGGCGCGATTTTCAAAGTTGCCGGGTGGAGGATGGGGTGAGGGACTAACATGCCAATTAACTCTCTCGCCCTCCCCCTGCAAAATGAAACGAATCTAAACAATTCCTTTCCCAAAGGCGACGGGACGCTAAGAGAGACAAACCAACCAACACCCCCCCCCCCCGCGAGGCAGAGTCGTCGCCCCATCGCTGCCAGCCTGTTTAAGGATGCGGCTGAGCCAGCAACGGCCCCGGGGAGTTGCGAAAAGAGGCTGGGTTCGACGGACCCGCCGGATCTGGGCAACCCACCACTAGCTGACCGCGTGCGAATCTGTCGCAAAGGCGCGCCGAGCCAGCTCGTGGGAATGAGTTTATGGCTCGTGGCACTGTGCGAACCCAGCACCGCCAGCTGAGCAAAGCCCCCGGGTTACGGGAACTGGGGGCGGACGAGCCGGCAACAGGGTTGGGCAGGAAGGAGCCGGCGGCTGACCCTTACAAGGACAGGCGGGCGCCCGCTTCCATTTTTTTTTACCGAAGAGCAGCCGGTCACGGGGGGGGGGGGGAATCCCAGCGGTTCAAGAGGCCGGGTTGACTGCCTTACCAGATTTCTGCGGCGCGGCAACGGCTCCTTTCGCCCCCTTGTGCCGAGGGCTGGGTGCCCGCGCCCTCATCTGGGCCACCACGGCGAGCTGCATCTCCCATTGGCAGTCCGCCCTGCACCTCTCGATCGCCTCTTCCATTTTCAGGTGAAAATGCGAGCCTTTCGCAGCCATCTTTGCGTGGGTGGGTGTCTCGTGTACAACAGGGAAGTCCCGGGCAGGCAAGCAGCCGCGCGCCGCGGGAAGCGCCGGGTTCCCCTCCCCTCCCTTCCCTTCCCCTCCCCTAGCGTGAGCAAGCTTTCAATTTCTCCTGTACACGCTGGGAAGGGAAGCCCGAGTGTCTTTAACCTCTGGTGCCCAACCCTTTTGAGATTATTAGTTACCAATTGGCTCCGGCATTCCTACGGAAAAGAATTGGCGACGTTTGGAAAACGCGCTGGACTGAAGGAAGAAAAGCGGAAAAGTGAAGCCTACGGTAAAGGTGACTCCAACGACCTATTTCGGAAGCACGCCGCCTGTTTACTGCTAGTCTCTAATTGGCAGGCCTCTACTACAAGTCCGGATCAGTAATCAAAGGAAGTTGTTATTTTTCCTCTATTCACTTTTCCAGATAAGTACTAAGCACGTTGAGTACTAGGCATGGTCTGGAAGTTAAGGGTTAGAGGTAAGAAGTACAGTGGCCAGAGAAGGGTACCAGAAGGGCTTCGTTTGCTATTTGTTCTGTGTCCCAACACTTGGGTCTTATTCCTCTTAAAAAGGTTTTCTACACCTCCAACTTCCTCCCCCCTTTTTTTCTTTTTGGCTGTGCTTGATCTGTCAGACATCGTCCTTGGGGTCTTTGCCCTAAGACTCTGAGCTTCAAAATGACCACAATAATGGCTTTTAAAAAGATTTTATTACTCCACTTTTATCATTTTTTATAAATAATTCATGGCGGTAAACATACCTAATTCATCTTCTTCCTCTTATTTCCCCCACAACAACAACCCTGTGAGGTGAGTTGGCCTGAGAGAGAGAGAGTGACTGGCCTAGTTGACTTTCATGCCTAAGGTGGAAGCAAGAACTCACGCTTTCTTGGTTTATAACCTGGTGCCTTAATTTATGGGAAATTAAATTCACAAATATAAGCTTACGGTTATTTCTTTTGAAGGAGAAATTTGACTTCATTTGCTTAAAGGAGTTGTGAAATGTGAAACACTCCATCTGGAAGACATATTACATTTGATTTAATGGCTATCTTCTACATTCAGTTGTATATAACCCATTTTTAAGAACATTTTTGACATGTAAAATTAAGCGCATGGGTTTTTTAAATAATACAAATTGTCCCAGTTTGTGCTGTTGATAATTTCTGAGATCCTAGCATGAATCAAAATGAAATTTAAGTCTTCCTTTCCTCTTCTGAAGCATTAAAGAAAATAATTGTTTGAAGCTTTGAAGGCATGTCCAAAGAATAACTGTTGATTAGATTTCATTTGGAAGGGGCTGCAATAGATCTTTTGACTCCTATTGACTACATGAATGAAATTTGCCTGGAAACAATGTGGAAGTTGCTTTCCTTTGGGATATCTTTTTAATTTCCCAATCTAACCTATAGATCTGGGATTTCCTTGTGACCAACTACTAACTGAGAGCCATTCTGGTGTATTGCAGTGGCTGAAGAACCAGGCCAGAACTGGGAGATTATGAGATTATGACTTTGGGCCAGTGCGGTCTCTCTCAATCCTAGGAAGGAGGCAATAGCAGGCCATTTCTGAAATCTTGCCAATTAAACTAAAGAGACTTGTCCAGGCTTTTGCCATGAGTCAACATTGATTCAAAGGCACAAGATAAATAAGTACTAACCAGATCTTACTCTACTTAGCCTTTTATTTGAAAATTTAACCAAGGTCAATTAAGCACTGTTAGTCATAAATTAGCTGCTTCTTTATTATTATGATACCATCATCTTATAATGTCCTGCCATTTTAAATAAATGTTCATTACCTAGAGCAGTGATTCTAAAAGTGTCATCTACAAAGCATCAGTGGTCAATAGAAGTCCCCCACATGCACAGCAATCCACTGGCAACAGCTGCTTGCCCCCTAAGCCCTGTGCATGCTGGCAGCACATGTGTACTGTCTCGGTTTTCCCTCCATGTGCTGAAAATCAGCCGTGCCAAACAGAACTGAGATCTTGCATGAGCACCCATTTTCTAATGATTCTCTGCAACCTGTTTGTTTACTCATTTATTGATGTACAGGTCTAACAAGTCACTTGAAAGAGGTGCCAGTCTACTGCTTAAAAGATTGTGGTGTAACTACAGTATTATTGCTAAAGTAGTTCCATGATCTCCAGAGGTTGTAAGCAGAAACCAACTTTCTGACAAATGATTGAACTCTCTACCCTATTCATCTGCCTCCCACCCTCGCTCCAGCCTACAGTGGGGGACCGATCAATTATAGCATCTTAAGTTGGCCCATAATAAAAAATATTTAGGATACTACGGTTCATTAGCTACATTACCAAGCTTGTGCAGATAAAAGAATATTATCCTGGCATACTTTTGTACTTCCTCACAAACTGAAGGAAAGCACATCAGACCCATTGTCTGGATGTCCCCTAGGGAGAAAGATACAGTTTGAATAGGCCTTTTTTTTTGTTCTGAACATATAACAGTTGAAATTGTCTGCATAGGATTTTATCAGCATAACTTAAGTATAATAGTTTTCTTGCTCTTAATTGCAAGGTTTAGACATATCATTGTCTAATCTACAGCGTTCTGGCAGCAAAACATCTTTCCATTGAATCAGCCCCCCCCCTTGATATTTATGGACATCCAGCAGCTCTGTCTTGCTAGTTTGTGCTTGTTCCTCCCCATTCAGACCCTCACAACTTCCAGATGCAAATTCAAGATATCTATAGCTCTCCAGCTGATATATCACCCCGGACCAATACATGACTTCATATATTGGAGCTTCATATAGATATTAAATAATGTGGGAGAGGTCTACCCCCTATGGCATCCCACACTAGAGCAGCTAAGGCCTTGATGGCTCATTCCCTATAGTTACTGCCTGGAACCATCTCCCCAGAAGAGCAGAATTATCACAAAATGGTACCTCTCATTCCCAAACCATGCAGGCAATCCAAAAGGATGATTAATGGTAACCAAAAGTCAAATAAGACTCAGGGAGTCCATTTCCTCCATCTACTGTGCCATAATCACATAGGAACACTGATTGGGAGAGATCCACCTAATTCATCTTCTCTTGGATCCTCTGTGATTGAGACACTGGTATCTTTGCAGCGTTGCTCAAAAGGGAAAGGTTGAAGCCTGAGCAAATTTGACAAATGCAACCAGTTGAGAGATGGCTTCTTCACAGAGAGGTTGCACTAGTACCTTTTTTAAGGCTGCTGACATAGCACTCTTCCTCATCAAAGATTCATTTATGCCCTATTGATATGCTTTAGCCACAGAAGCCAGGAGGAGCATGGGTCCAACCCACAAATGACAGGTTCATGGACTCTGCATTTCCTCAGATTCCACCAATCCAAACAAAGCAGGTAGACTTACAAAGTATCTCCTAGCTCACCTGATTTTGGCCAACTGCTTTCCAAACCAAAGCAGACAGAAGGAACTTTATCCATAAGGAAAGTCATAAAGCGATCTGGATAGCCCATAGCCTCTTGCCCCATTTGTCCTTGCATATAAGAGGATCTGGATCACTTTGAAGAAAAATATAGGACAGGAATCCACAGGTGCAGTAAGCAGGAAAAAAATCTTTGCCATTCTTATTGTAACAGAATATGTTTAAAGATTAGTTCATTAAAAAATGAATGTGAACTGGAACTCTGTATAAACTCTGTACTGATTTAAGAACTACGGATTAACCAAACATGGGCATAGCAAAAAATGATTTGTTTGCCACAATGGAAAGATTACCATTCCATATTTGTAATCCTGGATTAACTATATGTTTGCTGTCTTACTTCAAACTACCACTGTATTGATAAAATGGAAAAATTAATATTCCTTAGGGCCAAGTTTTACATAAAAACTGTATTGGCCTAACAATATGCTTCTTTGTTCTTTTCCTTTGTTAATATTTGTTTTTCTTGTTTCTATTTGTTTTCCAACTTAATGTTTTAGCACTAAAACGAATGCAGTAATATTTTGAAAAATGAGCAGGGATGCCACACGGGGGCTGCAAAAATCAGAACCACCATTAGAGCGCGGCAAAAAGGCCGAGAAAACTAAATTTATTTGCCTTTCCTTTTTTTGCGGCACTGCTGCTGCGGTCCTCGTATCATCGCTCTTTGTCTACTTTGGATAAATTTCACACAGACCAGATCTTGCATCCAGCTCTGTACTATTAATTCAGGGTTTCCCACACACCTGGAGCTTCAGTCGCGTTGCCTACCAATAAAGAACAGAAGTGAAAAAGCGGCATTGCGAGAAATCCAAATAATCTAATTCACAAGAACAGCCCCAGCGCGGAAACCCAACTACAGTTCGCTGAAGTAGGTGTTAGCGTAGCCCTAAGAGCAATTGGCTAGGAAAATCTTCCCTATGATGACTGCAAAAAAAAAAGGTCCAGCGTATCAGCGCCCGCGGGCGGGGACAAGAGGCTCTTCCTCCGAAAAGTCTCTAGTCCAGGGGTAGGCAACCTCGGCTCTTTTATGACTCGTGGACTTCAACTCCCAGAATTCCTGAGTCAGCTATGCTGACTCAGGAATTCTGGGAGTTGAAGTCCACGAGTCATAAAAGAGCCGAGGTTGCCTACCCCTGCTCTAGTCTAAAAAGGAATAAAGCCACGTCATAAAACGAGGGGGGGCGTGGTCTCTGCGGACATACCCGATTCCTTACGCGCGCACCCCTTCGGCGGGGCAGCGTGTTTTTTCCAGAATACGTAAAATATCAAAGAAAGCCAATCGCCGAGGAGAAGGCGTGGAACTCTTGACGTATTGAAGGTCAGAGGTGGTATGAGTGGTGGGGATGGTGGCCGAGGCGGTTCAGTTCTGTGAGTGTTGCTGCTCTTCCCTGCCATCGGACAGTGTCATCTTAACGGCAGAATTGCTGGGAAGAGGTGCGGGGCGCACGTGTTTTGGGGACGAGCGTCGTAGCCGGGATCTCGCGTTGGCCAGAAGACGGCGACTTGCCTTGTGCCGGCGGGAGTCTGTGCTCCTACTTTCCCGTCCGGTCCTAATCTCACCGCTGCTTGC